TAAACGACTAAATCATATGTTATATTAAAATTATTAAACAGGAACCAGCCAAATAAATACAAGTGATTCATTCTTTCTTACTACACGTGCATGACGTACAACTACAGGGTTCTCCTTCTAGAAAGGAAAGAAACAAGATTAGATGTACAATAAATAACACTTGCAGTTTAACCAAGTGACAAACATGTTACTTACGATACAAATAACTTGTAGTTAAAAGTTTATCTTAATACAATTTGGCCTAACTAACAGTTTACTTACCTATACACTTACACCGACTTTTCTCAGTTTCGTCTTTTTTGTTGCACGTAGTACACTTGCATCCGTCTTCTTTGCCGCACGTGCACTCCTTGTCACATGTGCACGTAGGATCTTTAAACAAAGGTAAGTGTGGCCTAAGTTTATTTCATGTAACCAAGTGTAGTTATCAGATTGATCTCTTATGATATAAAAATATTCGATTATTTTAGAAACGTTATGTTGTGATTGATGTTTGGAAATTCACATAACGAATACGTAGAGGAAAAAAGTTTATCTACAGTGAAGTTAGTGTAAACATTACTTACCTTGTTATTTAACTTTTAATCAAACTAAAGATATATTAATTTGTATAGAAAGATGTAACTATAAAATAACTGATCCATCAAGTTCCTTAAGATGTGAAATACAATGCTGAAACAGAATAATTGAAGTCATTGTTTAACACGAATACAATTGGAAGTTTGTATTAAATGTTTGTAAAAACTGGCAAGTGAAACCTTATCGTCTGATTTAAGTTATCTTCTTAACATGAGATATTAGTATTCTTGATGCACAAATACAGGTTAAATTACATTTATGTAAAAGCTATTTCAGTGATAGGTTAAGAATTAAAAGTAATGGGAGAGGGGGGGGGAGAGAAAGAAATCACGGAAGGAGTGAGCGGGTTACTATTATTTAAAATACATAAAAACATTTTAGTCCGCAATCCAAGGTCTTAAAATATATATCTAGTAAAATTAAGACATCAATTAACAATTATTAGCCAGGTCTATGCTGCTCTATATAATTAGAATACCCAATTTAATAATAAATAACTTAAAATATTTCAGTGCATATATTCAGGTATATAAGCCAGTGAATATACGATATTATTATAAACTAACTTCCGAATCAGTTTTATGGATGGCGTATAGTAATTAGTTTTCAATTACCTCCAGGTTACATCAGGTATAATTAGCATTATTACTAACCAATTTCAAACACAGTGTTACGTCTCTGTTCGTTTGTTAATTTTCCGTAAAATTTCTTTCGGATGAAACTTCAGCGATACAAGTTCTTCCTTAAATAAAGCTAGTTTATTCTTTCTCAATTCAACTTTGCAATACACTTAATTTCCACAGTCACTTTAACTACTTTTATAAACACGCTATAAGTCAGAACGATTCACGCACTTTACTTACGACTTGACTCGATTATCTGTCTCCTATCCAATTAATTATTTCGCTTTATTTGCCGCGCTTATATACAACAATAGAGGGCGTCTAGAATGCACTCGCCTCTTCATGAACCTTCGAGACACTTATCACGTGTTACTAGCGTCACGTGACCTCCGCTGTCGTAACAATAGTTATAACTCACTAATACTTCCGAATATTTGAACTTCATATTGAAAAGTTACTTTTTACAGTAGTTCTCTCCAGGGGTATTGTTCTTATTACATAAGGTAAGGGATATTATAGACATATTACACGAAAAAAGTGGAAAAGCCTATATCTCAACAGTTATGGTACCCATAGAGACGCAACATGTATCATACGACAATGCTCTACTATGGGTGCAAGTACGTTTGGGGGTAGGTTGGTAGAGACAGTGATAAGTT